ATATCACAACTTTTAAAATTTGGCAAGAGAATTGACCTGTTGTCTGGAATATGTTTGTCCAGAGATGAAAAATTTGTGAGCAAACCCTGCTTTCTTCATAACCAGTTCGTCGAGTGCTTCTACCTTAAGTCCAATACGTACAAAGATGAAAGACAAAAACTAAGCTGAACAAACCTTTTCTTCATCTCCACCAAAAAGTGTCAGAAACGAGTCTTGAGTGCCAGTAGCTCCCTTAATCCCACGGAATTTCATGTTATCATGGAAGTGCTCTAGCTAAAAAAGAGAAGGCCATGTAAGATCAATTTGTTAGAGATAAAAACCAGAAGGTGTAGAGCAAACCCACCTGTTTGAATGCCATAAGCAATTCCTGTGCCCATAATGCAGCTCTCTTCCCAACTGTTACCAAGGAAGCGGTTTGGTAATGTGTGCGTCCAACAGTGACATGCGATTTTTCGCGATCAGCGAATGTGGCCATTCGATCAAGCACGGTAGCCGTTCTAAAAAAAACACGCTTGACATTCGAGGAACGAGGAAATCTTGCCGTTGCAAAAATCCTGCATCAGTTTCAACGTACAGTAAGATACTGTGAGACTGATATTGCAATTCAGGAACTGAACTTCTCATAGGCACTATTTCTAAAATAGATGCAAGAGCCAGAAAGAGTATTTCTGAGATTTAATGTTCTTCTCTCGTCCTCTTCTTGACTTGACAGAAAATATTCGAACATTTCTACACTAGATTCCCAAAGATGAATCTTTACAGTCATCAGGATAACAAAGACAGCCCATGGCCAATGTGTAAAGATTTTAATCATTGAATTGCAGTATTTACAGTAGGCAAAAAACTGATTGAGCATTGTGACAGAGATGAACACCCTCGTGAACAGTGTTAAGAAAAATGTGAGGAATATATTAATGTTGAAGCGCCTGCACTGACCTATTCATTCGTGAACCAGCTCAAAAACCGTATTCAAGCCAAAGCTGTTCAAAGAATCGGTTGCATAGTAGGGTAATGTTCTTAAATAACTTTTCTCTCAAAATTTGTTTTCGTTTTTCTTCAAATGAAAAATGATCTATAGATGCTTATAAATAATAATAGTTGTAAATTTTAGACGTTCCTTGTATATTAGGAATCCTTCTTATAAACTTATAATTAGTTTTTCAGGAGATAGATTAAAATTCCCACTAAACTATTATATTACATTTTCTACTCCCAAAATGATGAAGGTGACGCGGTGTGAGGTGATGAGCTTTCCAAACAACGAAACTCCCAGCAAAAGAGATGTCGTTAGTGGTTACCGTCTTCACTAAACAGACGACGGCACAATTTCAAAAGGTGATATTATTTTTATTAATGCTGATTTCAAACATGCACTTCAAATCTGCGAAACGTTTGTTAATAGAAGTTACTGCTGGTTTTAGTGAGTGCAAACGCCAAGTATTGCTTAAAAGCTTCATCTCCAAACGATATACTAGTTTAAATTGATAGCAGTTGATGTATTTGGGTCAAAAATGAGCTTTTACATGATGTTCAAATAGAATTAGAGCATATAAGCAACGAAGACGGGCGCTTAGGTTGATGCAGGACAAAATTATAATCTCTCCATGAAAGTTCTGCAGATTTGGACACCAGAACAACCATTTCGAGCTACATCTGATGTATGCACCTCGTCACAAACGATCCACTAAAATAATCTCACTCCCCTCTAAGCTAGTTCGACAAACTATCGTCAACGTGCTAAAGCGCGTCTACATCATTGAATCAAAAGTGTTGAACGAGACATATCAGCAGGGAACACAATTGTTTACAGCCACTTTATAAGCAATACAAGAACAAAATTGAAAAAAAGA